CAACAGTTGTAGCATTTTTTTTTTTCGTTTTAATGCCATTGAACACGTCTTTTGACCTAATTGACAGCTACGGTGAGACGATCTGCCGTAAATGCTCCGTCTGTGTTTGCTTCCCCTGTCGCAAGTTCGGATCGCTCAGTGATGATACTATACCTAAATAATCTGTGGAGTCTCAGTTTTAATCGGATATATTGTATGTGCAGCTACGATAAGTAATAAGGGTATCTTTATCTTGAATTGTGTGCCGCAGTGCGTTAGAATTTTTTCGCTCAGGGGTCATTTAGACGCTTCTTATGAGACTTGTGTTTTGTTTTGGTAAAAATGGTTCATATCTTCAGTTAGCTGAGATTCTTCCCGTTAATCTGGTGCTACACATTAATAGTTTCATAAATGTTAAGAAGCCCTGAGACATTGTCAAGAGGTTAAAGGCATTCTAGAGCCAATGTCTGGCTTGTCCGTTCTGATGTACATTAGAAAAATTGTGTTGCAAAATGGTGCATTCCGTGAAAGAGGACCCACTCCCTATTTAGATATGAAGTGCCCATTATTCATATTTCATATTTTCCTTTTGTAAAACACCAATGAAAACATAGTTATGAATAGTGTTTTCCATGACTGTTAAAAGATTCCCTAAATACTAACACACCCTTTAGGTTACACATCACACGTATCAAGTGTAAGCAATGTGCCAGACCTTCAGATATACCATATTCAACAACTATGGTACTTTGAAAAATGTGTAACTCCGTGAAGAAGCCAGAAACACCAAGACTTGATGCTACATTCTTGAATATTGAATAACATCCGTCATGTTTTGCTACCTTTAAAAAATGTGATTCAAACCTCTGAGATGTATAGCTTTGCCTCTCATGAAACCAGGATTGAATTCTGAAATATTGTGGATTCTATTATTAAGGTAAAATGTCATGAGGAGCTAACTGGCCCTCTGCTCCGTTACGATCATGACTGTACACCGTTTGTGTCTCACAGCACTTGAAGACATTGTCACCTCTGACTCCAAACATTGCTTTTGGAAAAGTTCCCCTGGATTAGAACTATGTTTTGACTCTTCCTCTGCCAGGGGCTTCATAAAAAAACAGGCTGCTTTTATTACTTCTTTGGGGGAGCAGATGTTCATAATTTGGAAAAGCGAAGTTGGTAAAACACGACTCCATGGGTGGCAATACATATAAAACAGTTTGGGAAATATGAAACTCTGTCACTGAGCCAAATGTATCTCTTCCTCTGTTAGAAAGGACTTAACTAATTACTCCAATCACATTCAGAGGTGATGTCTTAAAGCTCCCCTATTATACTGTTTTTCATCAATATATTATAGGTCTCAGATATATACAAAACATGTCTTTGAAGTGTTTGGCTCGAAATATCAAACAGATCGTGCATTGCAGCATCCCATAATCCCCTCTGTTTCAGCCCTGTTTCAAAAGTGCTGATTCTCTCTCTGTTACTTTAGATGAAAATAAGGAGCCACTCCCCACGCCCCTCTGAGAGACATTTGGTTAAAAATAACACAATGGTGCTCTAGGAGGAGATTCAGGTGATAAGGGGGGGGGGGTTACCTTGGTTGCTGATTGGCTAATTGTTACACAAGCCAAAAAATAGTTATGACATCATAAAGTGGCCAAAGACAGACAGGTTTTTATATAAATGGATCTGGACAAAAAGAGAGAAAATCTTTTTTCCTGAAACTTTCAGAATGTCTTTACACAGAGGGGACACATGTTGATGTAGAAAAGACATGACAAAGTGGGTTTTGCATAATAGGTCCCCTTTAATAGGAACTAATGGATATTACTTTAAAGCTGAAATAACAAGAACAAGTTTTTATGGACGTTATGCTCTTTATCTGCATTGGGAGGATACTGGATTTGGACAAAACAAACAGTTCGCACTCTTTCATACTTTTATTGAATATACAGTTTTGAATAAAGCATTCACAAAATGGCAGACCCTGACGTAATTAAGCAGGATTTCAGCATCCGTCCTTTACATACTCTGTCTGTCCTCCAGCTCTCTGTGGTAATCCTTCTTCCTCATCGTTCTCTCCCACTTCTTTCTAAACCAGATGCTTCAGAGCCCAGTTCAGGAAGGACTGCAGGAATGCACCAATACTCGTAATCCAGTCCAGTAAAGTCAGTGTGAGTTTAAGGTGAGATGGTATTTTTGTCAGGTAACCTTAAAGAATATAATATGTGCATATTTCCCCAAAAATGTGTTAATTGTTATCACTTGCATATCATTTGATAACTATTTTACATGTAAAACAATTGTTTCTAGTTGTTAGACTTACATGTGATAGATTTTTCAGTGTTTTGTTTTTCATCTTAAACTGCTTAAATCAGCAAATGGGCTTCCTAACCACTAGGGGGCTGAAAAAACTGCCCTGATTTAACTCACGCATTTGTTATGGTTTACCAACTATTGGCTACACATCTAACAGAGGGAGAACATTATTACACCACTGGTGTTTTTTTCAAAATCAAAGTCTAAATCAAAAAACAGTAACCATTTAAAATCCAAATTCAAGTTTAATGTATTTCAATTGTTGTCCAGAAATAACATCAAACAGAGGGATCAACTGTTAGGTTTTATCATAGACTGTATATATAAATGGACGTAGTGTCCGTGACGTCACCCATAGGATTCTGCAGACTTGCCGAGAAGCCCTTAGTAGGCGGAGTCGGCCACTAACGGCTTGACAGCGACGTCAGAGTCTAACTCCCGCCTGCTCCAGCCTGCTCCAAATAACGGCAAAGAGGCGGAGGCGGGACCTGCTGCCTCCGAACTGGAAGTAAACAGAGCTAGCTCAGGCTAAGAAGCTAAGCTAACATGAAATACATGCATACCAAGTTACTGCGTGGCACTTTGGTTTTGATAAAACAGTGTAGTTCCCCTATATAAACGTTACATTCATAATCAAACGAGAAACTCTGCAAGAGAATTAGCTATTTTTTATTATTCTTAATGCTTGTCATCACGTTAATAAAATAAAAGAAGTACCGATACATAGCAGAAGAATTGTGGCGATGTTCAGCTTAATAAGCCTTGTTCAACATAATTTATTTAGCTAATACTACAGCGGGCTGCAGGCGAACCAAGTCCGCGTTTCGCTGCATTCCTTGATCTCCAGTTATAACGCCGGACTCCACCGCCCGGAGCTAACGGAGCCGCAGGGGGCTCCGGGACGCCGGTTGGAGCTGGACGCCGGCTGGAGCTAGCCCCCTGCGGCTCCGTTAGCTCCGGCAGCCACCACTGGGATAATTGGGCCCCCTTTTAACATTTGCTCCCGTTTAGCATTATGGGCGTCATAGCCATATACTATAAAAGTCTTACCCAAGGCTGAATCATAAACGAAACTGTATATATATATGTATACATGTATAAAGGGTTACGTCCTTAGCTGGCTAATAAGCTACATAACAAGCTAAGCTAACAAGCACACAGGGGTTAACATGTATAATATTATCATTTTAGACTGTTACTACATTCAAGCGCACAGCACGGCATTTTAATTGTCTGGTATTTGTAACAATATTCCCTAAAAGGCACAATCACCACAAACACGGCTAAAGGGTCAAGTACAGTAACTACAACTAACTAACGTTGTAGCCTAGCAGAGTGGACAAGTTGCTGTTAGCTGACAGTGAGGCACGTACCTGTCCATCAAAGTGACCACTCCCTAATTTATGCAAAAACGTTAAGACCTAATATAAATAATAGGGTTGCGTTAGAAAACAATTCACTCACAGATTCATAATCATGAAGGTGGAATCTAACTATATCCATAATAATATTTATTGCATCCAGGGGTAGAAACATGTTTTTTTCTGCTGTAAAATTGGGCATTTTAACATGGGGGTCTATGGAAATTGCTCCTTTCTGCAGTCATCGCCCAATATATGAACTGCAGTTTGTGGCACTTCCGTATTGGCGTCCCGGCTCTTCCCCAGAGTTTGCCGCTTGGGTTTTATACACAAAGTTTTATTTACCAGCCTGAATGCATTTACGGTAAAATATTTAGACAAACAAAATGTTCTGCCACTAAAAAATATTGTCAATTTTGAAATCAGTAATGTTAAAGCTGTCTAACAAACATTAACAATTCTTGGGTGAAAGATTTCCAGATTTGTGGACTACGTTTAAAGACGACAATACTAAAAACATATGATGACAGGAAGTTACAAAACATACAAACAAACTGGAAGCTCATCATCATTTTGGTAATCTCACTTTTAAGGTAACATTATTAAAGGTCATTTAAGTGTAGAAATGTGATTGTTAATAATGACTAAATATTGGGTTAAAGTTCTAAGACCACAAAGTAAATATTTGACTTGATTCATGTTCAAGCTTACTTCTTGCCTTTGACTGACTTTACGAAATGTCCTCTCCAAAGCTTTTAAGATGTTGAGAGACAATTTACATTTTTCTGCACTGCAACTCTTCACATTCCAGTCATTTGGCAGACGACTTTGTCCTAAACAGCTTACAATAATTGCATTCAGGCTCTGATTTGACTTCTTAAGCAACAGCTTGTCAAGCATGCTTAGTTTGTGATTATCCAGGGAGGAGGCAATCGTTAAAAAGCCACAGTTCGGACTATCTTTTCAATATTTCTTGCCAAAGGGACCGCAAAAATACACGTGTTAATCATAATGTAGCAATTACTTACTGGAAATCACAGCCTAAAGGATCCCAGGAAAAATGGGATTTAAACCTGAAGGAGCTGACTTCTGAGCTGAGTTTAAATTCCTCAGAATTTAAAGCATTGATAAAGAAAAATTATAAATGATTTAAAGGTAAAGACAAATGCTTTTGGAGAAACCTGACATGCTACACCATTCCTTGTCTGAATACATTTTTAACTGAGCTAAATTATTATTATTTTTTTTAGTATCCCTTCTCATTTCTTCCTGTTATGGCTTTGAGAATTTATTGACAACGATGAGCTAGAGCCCTCAACAAATTATCTTTTTCCTCCTATATTTTTCTATTTTTCAATATGTTAGACTCTGTTAGGGACAAGTTGGTAAAGTCATAAAGTATTGCAAGATGTACTAACACATTGTTGGTTTCAGTCTTTTCCTGGGAATCGTTGTCAAATAACTCTTTAAATATAGGTGAAATCATATCACTTTGTACATTATTAAAAAAAACAATGTTAAATAAAACATGTAGTACATGGACATTATTCTTCTGCTTTATAATATATTTTTGCACTGTGCATTCATGTATTTCTGTTTGAGTGCTTAAAGATCAGAGTAAAATAAAAATCTAAAGGTTTGTGAGTGTCATAACATTCCTATAAGCAGTACATCCTGTAAGAGTTTAGGAAAGTTCACTGTGTGGCCGTCTTCTAAAATAAAGTGCTTTCATGCAGTGAATTGTATGCAATGTTTTAAACCAATAATCTCTATAAACAGATATCTGCATATTAATTCAGAATCTGTCGCCAATGAGACTTCGGTACCAGAAGCATTCTGGTTTCTGTTTGCAGTCCAAGAAGTGTTGACCAATCATGTTTGAGCGAGCGTTGGTTGCATGCGGGTAAACAGTCCGTGTGGAGAGTGTGGAGAGAGGCAGAACGAATTGGATGATATTTCGCAACCCATCGGCTATTGTTCTGAGGACAATTTAGACTTTGATTAGCTTTTTTATTTCATTTATCAGCATTCATACGTAGATATCTGTTCATATAGATTAATTGAAATGTCATCTGGACCTAAAACAGCTGCTCTCAAGGTCCTAATCTGACTGTTAATGATGACTGGCGAACTATGGAATTCCAATATCCGCTGGCAACACCGTAACTGTCGTCAGACCGATAGCCGATAGATTCTGAGATTACCAAACCAAGGACCAGAAGTTATTCACCTGTCATGGTGTTAACTTCAACTGGCTTGCTTTGGTATAAAGTTTCGCTTTGATGGAGCTAAGTTAGTCTGCAGCTGGCTTTTCAGCAGCTTGGGTTTCCCATCCGACAGAAGCAGACAGTTCTGAAGAGCCGACACTGGCAGAAAGCACAGAAATCACAGCACACATTGTTTGAAGATTTACAGCTTCCCCCCAGGGGAACGCAGTTAGCAGGAGGACGAGGGCGCTTCTTCTTTCTCTGAGAGAGAAGGAGAGAAGTATCAACAATACATCATCATACTGTTAGAATAAGATATAAAATAAAGTACTGCAGTGCCTGACAAGAGAAACATTTTGAGTAAAATAAAATATGGAAATATTTATGTGCTTTGGTGACAATGCATAAAAAGGACAGATTGTCAGAGATTTTTACCATAGGAGTTGATTCTGTACATTTTTGGGTAATACCTTTTTTTGTTTCTTTGTTTTCTTGTTCCTCTTCACTGTTTTTGGCAATTCTGAAAAAGGACATATGAAAATCAAGGTGCTTTCAGGAATTTTAGAGAAGAAAAACAAATGCATCATCTGCGTATCCATATATAGTTTATCTTCATATAAGTGAATAATCACAGTTAAACTTGCAAACGTACCTACAATAACAACAGGAGGGGGGGCTATGTCAAGGCTTTGAGACAGAGCGTTATATAACACAACCCTATTTGTGGCGAGACTCTCATCAGGGATCATGTGGGCGGAGGCAAGGAAGTGATCTGTTGCAGCGAGGACTAAGCAGCTCAGCAGCAGGAGGGCATGCATCTTTCTCTGGAAGAGAACACACAAAGAAACTTAAATGTATGTTGTTTTGGAAAGAAGGTGAGAATAAATTATCATCTTACTACAAGGTCACTTGAAATAAGCTGTCAGTTAGTCCACACTGAAATATCTCATCAACGTTTCGATATTGGTCTTTAGCCTTCACATTATGTCTTCATAGATACGTTTGTTGTTGCATGACTGCATACCTATTTGTTGTGGTGATGTGCAAACAAATCTACAAAAACATCTTATTGAACTAATATTTTTAGTGTCCGCTATGTACCGTGTGGGATCGATTTCAGCCACTGAAACATGTTCATGGCTCCCAAACGTGTGTGAATTTTAGCTTCCTTGAGAAGGTGCAACATGCATTGCAGCCCTTGCCTCTGTATGAATGAGTGAATGAAGCAATGTTTACGTAAAGTGCTTTGAGAAGTTGTAAAGACTGGATAAATGTCAAGAACCCAACGACCAAGTGATCAGTGGCTGTGCTGCTCATGGTGGCTTCCTGTTGCTGTGCTGCCCCTGACCCAACAGTCCAAAGAACATATTTAGAGTCAGTAAGAGCATTTTGTAAAGTTATGAAGTTTGGATAGGATTACTTGGTTTTCTTGCAAGTAATTACTAAAATGTGTATGTCTTCGCCAGTCTTTTTCTTGAGCTATCGAAAATGTATTCCTGTAAAGTAATAACAAAAACAAAATGTGAAGAGTCGGTCTGCCCATTACCAAAAAAGATCTCAATTACTATTGGATATTTTCTATTAGCCTTCAAATCATGTACTGATATATAATAGTGTTTTTCTTTAGCATTGAGGCCTACCTATTTGAAGCTTTTTATTCAAATAGAATTGTATTTGTGTGATAATCTCAGGGTAAAGATAACAACATCAAACAAAGTACAATAAAGTCCTGAATGTCTTGTTTAGGTGTTAATTGTCTTTATTTATTTGTACCTGCATGTAGATCTGCTTACCCACCTTAAGCATTATAGCAACAATTTGTTTGTTAGGAATTTTGGAAGCACAAAGGGGTGGTCTGACTTCGGGTAATTTCCGGATCGTTTCAATGTGTGTTGCCATCCGCAAATAAGTTTGATGAATGCCAGCTGGTGTTCTGTTGCAACAATAACAAGTCCCTGATATTTCTTAGCAAATCTAACACGATGGTGTCCAATTCTTTCTGTGTTTAACAATGTGGTGATGTTTACTATAACGTTTTACTTTTGCTAGTCATTTACTTTCTGATGACGTTGCTTTGACAATCTGTTACAGGAAACTGACATCACCAGTGTTCCTGCCAGCAGACTAACCCTGTAGGCCCTGAGCAGCGGCAGCAGGAATTAGTGCCCACTGCCTCAGACATTGTAGAAATGATCACTAATCTTCATCTTCAGTGCAGCTGCTGAGAATTAGCAGCTATAAGTAGAACAATACTTTATGCTTGGTTGAGTAAACACTTTTTGCATAGAACTTAAAAGAGTTATCTAGACGCAAATACCATATGAACTGTTTCAACATACATTTTATGGAAATTTGAAATGGATCACAATGTAATTTTCATTTGTTTGGCTGACAAATAACCAGAACAGATAATAAACAGTCAATATTCTGTTAACCTTTCTTTATTCTGTTACTTAGTATTTGACTCAAGTTCTGAAAGATGTGAGCGTGTGTGTGGTCTTCATGTCAGTGATAATATGCAGCGAGAAAGTCATTAATTGAAAAAGAACACCAGTGTGAGCAGTATCCTGACACTGCACATTATCCAGATTATTACACTGCAACGTACTTCATAAACCAACAATTTGACTCATAAAAGTGATTTTAAATTGATTTTAAAATGACTGTATTGCGTCTGCTAAAACAAAACCATAGTCCCTTCTAGTGTGTACAAACAGCTGGAATTGCGGCAACAGCAACATAACGTAAAATGATGACAGCACTGATGGAGGTTTTATGAAGATATCCACAGAAGATATTTACATTTTCTTTTCCATGAACCAGTCTTTAAACACTGCCAACGTTTAAAAACTGGAGGTCTCGATTGAGAACTGTAGTAAATGCGGTATTAAATATTGAATGGTACTTGTGGGTTATCTGTCGCCACTCGGCCAGGTAGGTCTTAAATGGTGTCGGGCCATTCCCCGGTGACGTTGTTTCCTCCACTTTGCTGATCCCCTGGAAAAAAATGCGCCGGTGAAGATGGCCACATTGTCTTTTGGCTCCTCTCCAACTTTGCCCTTTTTCGTATTTTTTCAGTATTTATTTACTTTTTGCCGTCTGCTTTTAACATGGTTCGCAACATGCAAGCCGACCGCACCAACTCTGCTATACAATATAGCAGAGAAGAACTTCTTAACATTAGAAACCTTGTGGACAATAGCCCACCGACAGACAATGGAGATCCGCCATGGCTACCTGTTGCTGTCCTACCTGAGAGACGCAAGAAGAAGACCAAGCGGGGGTCCCGCGCCGGGCTGCTGGTCAGACTGAGAAAACAAGGAAACCGACCCCCTCTTCCGAGTATTCTTCTGGCTAATGTTCAATCGATTGAAAATAAGCTAGATGACGGCTCTCCCTCGCCCTCCCTTCGGCAAATCAGACCACATCTCACTGCTATTGCTGCCTGCTTACAAGCAGAAACTTAAACGGGACAGACCGGTAACAAAGACACTACAACGATGGAGTGAGGAGTCAGATTCAGCTCTGCAGGATTGCTTTGCATCTACGGATTGGAGTGTGTTTGAGGACAACAACATCAACACACACACCGATACGGTCATTAGGAAATGCATCGATGACGTGGTACCGAAGGTTTCTGTACGAACATTCCCGAATCAAAAGCCCTGGATAAACGGCGAGGTGCGTGGCAAGCTGAAAGCGCGCACTATCACGCACAGAGCTGGAGATTTTGAGGAGTACAGGAAATCTAGGTATGAACTCCGGAGAGCAATCAGCAGCGCAAAGAGACAATACAAAGACAAGGTGGAATCTGACTTCAAAGGCTGTAACACCCGGAACATGTGGGCGGGACTAAGAACAATGACAGACTACAAAGGAGCAGCGGGGGGTGCTGCGGGAGTGTCTGCGTGCGCATCTCTCCCAGATGAGCTAAACAGTTTTTTTGCACGCTTTGAGAGCAGCCGGGCTGTGGAGGTACAGAGGGACCAGGAGCTACACTGCCCTTTTGTTTTAAATAGGGCAGATGTGTGTAAATCCTTTAAAAGGGTTAACCCACACAAGGCTCCTGGACCTGATGGCATCCCTGGCCGTGTTCTCAGGGTGTGTGCAGTTCAGCTGGCAGAGGTGTTCACAGACATCTTCAACAGGTCCCTGCTGCAGTCTGTAGTCCCCACATGTTTCAAACACTCCACCATCATTCCTGTCCCCAAAAAGACTAAAACCACCAGCCTCAATGACTACCGCCCAGCAGCACTCACCTCCATCATTATGAAGTGCTTTGAGCGGTTAGTCAAAACATTCATCACCTCCTCCCTCCCTGACTCTCTGGACCCCCTGCAGTTTGCCTACAGAGCAAACAGGTCCACAGACGACGCCATAGCTCTCACCATTCACACTGCCCTCTCACACCTGGGATAACAACCTCAATTTCAACATCAGCAAAACCAAGGAGCTGATTGTGGATTACAGGAAGAGAGTTTAGAGAGTCTGAAAAAAACTAAAAAAGTGGCGACAGATGGCGACAGATAACCCACAAGAACACATAATCTGTAAAGTTTTCTGTTAATACAGGATGATTCACTGTATTTGGCAGGAATCTCATTGGGATCCCTGGATTTACTTTTTAGTGCCAAAATTACCCTTATTAGCCGCGTTCACACCAAGTACTTTGCCGTACTTAGTGCCGGCACTTAGTGCCCCGGCACTTATTACCCCAGGGCACTTAGTACAGATCGCGTTCACACCGGAATAAGTTCCCTGAGGGAAGATTACGCAAATGAGCCGCTGACGTCACTTCGTCTTCTTCTGCTTTGGGTTTACTGGCAGGCCGCAAACAACTTCACGGCGTATACTGCCACCCGAAGACCCCGGCCGGAAGTCCCCGGAGTTGGGGACTGGCTTAGAAGCTGCTGGGACTCCCAGCAGCTTCTACTGAAGCCTTCCGAGTAAATCGCCAGAACGCCGACACCTCCTCATCTCCACCGCTCCCATGTTTTATTTTGTGTTGCCATAAGTTAGTCTCTCTGCGTTTGTGCGCTGGGCGAATGCTAATAATGCTAATGCGAGGACAATAAAATGGCGGCTCTACAAAACATTTCAGAGTTTTACGGGGCGTGGTTTGCAATTCGCCCAGCCAATCAGAACTGGGGCACTTTTTTCCCCCAGGAAAGTACCATCTCTCAGCAGGCACTAAAAATGGGGGTAAAAGTTCCCGGCATTAAGTACTCTTTTTGGTGTGAACGCGACATAAGGGGTTCTAACAGAACTAAACGCGAAAAGTACGGGGAAAAGTACTCCGGTGTGAACGCGGCTATTGTCTAGACAGCTTGTACACCTTAGTTACACCAATCATTGATGTTGTGTTAACTGAAATAGGAGTGATACATCTGGGTCAGAACTCCTACAATAATATTATCTTTGCAGACATATTTAACCATTTTATCCAGTTTCCTCTTTAATGACAAAACATAAAAAGATCACATTCAGAAATAATGTTTTTCAGACTGCACTAAAACTTCAAATGAAAATGAACTTGGCCACCAAGCGTCAGTTAAGATGAAAAGTAGGTGGAAAATGTACAATTTTACCTACATTATAGAATTTGTAATTTCACTTCTTATTCACGTCTTTGCTGCCCAGAATAGAGTGGTGCAGGAACGAGTCCTAAAACCCGGAAGTGAGTTAGCATTTTACCACTTCCGGTTCCCTCGTCTCAGAGTCAATGGGATTTCTCCATAGGATTTTGGAAAATAGCTGGAAATAAGATCTGTGGTTGACACAAATTTAAGAGACGGATCACGTTTTGTTCTACGACATTAAATAC